TATTACGTGCTCTACAGGAGCAGTTGAATTGATAGATACAGAAAGAGGTGGCTAGTTTAGGCAATTTATCTTTTAACCACAGAGTGATCATTGGACGTGTGTATAACATTAATTGTAGTTCACCTGCATTAAAATTCAACTGCTCCTGTGAAGTAAGTTATATTAGTAGATGTTCTAGGAATTTGTATATTCGGGCTCTTGAGCACTTCTCAGTATGGTTAAGCAAAAGTGTAGTCAAAAGCCTCTGTAGATACGCTTACAATTCAGAGGCGATGTACCTAGTGAAATGCTAAGACTGAAGTTAAGTTGATCAATCTAAGGAACTTTTAATGCAGGTAAACTGGAATTGATATCGTTCAAAGAAATTTAACGGTATGTAACGCTTGAATGAATAACTTATTGGGTATTTTGAGCAGTGATAGATGGCTGTTAACAGTGGAATTTATGATACATGTTTTGTTCTATTAAGAACTCGGTGGCTGGATGTACCTGTATTCCAAAAATGATTTTCACTTTCAGAATCGAATGCAATACCGTTCGCTTCAAACTTTATCACGTTATCCACTTAGCTACTGAGTCAGATCAGTCATTAGCTTGTGTAATGAATAGACTGATCAATTGCAGACCTAAACATCAATGAGAAGATTCAAACAACCAATAAAAGAAGATATACAGGATATTGATTGTTTCCACCGATGTCATCAGTTTTTCAATGAATAAACACCTAAAATCCCTCGAACAAACATACTAATCAATTTCGGCTGAACTAAAATTAAGATCTTTATCTTAATTATTGTGTAGGACACCTGATCAAGATACCAAAGAAAGGCGATCTCAGCAAGTGTGATAATTACAGTAGCATCACTCTTCTCTCAATACCAGGAAAAGTCTTCAACAGGGTATTGTTAAACACAATGAAGGACTACGTAGACGCCCAAATTCGAGACCAACAGGATGGGTTCCGTAAGGATCGATCGTGTACAGACCAAATCGCAACTCTACGGATCATTGTGGAACAATCAATTGAGTGGAATTCATCAATCTTCATCAACTTCATTGACTACGAGAAAGCACTTGATAGCGTGGACAGGACAACACTATGGAAGCTTCTTCGACACAATGGCGCACCTAAGAAGGTAGTCAATGTCATACGGAGTTCGTGTATGGAGGACAGTTGGCAGACACGTTCGAAGTAAAGACCGGTGTCATGCAAAGTTGCTTACTCTCACCCTTTTTCTTTCTCTCGGTGATCGACTGGATCATGAAGACTTCAACATCTGATGATAAGTATGGGATAGAGTGGACAGCTAGGATGAAGCTGCACGATCTAGACTTCGCAGATGATCCGGCTCTTCTATCGCACACACAACAACAAATGCAGGAGAAGACGATCAGTGTAGCAGCAGCCTCAGCAGCAGTTGGACTCAACGTACACCAAGGGAAGAGCGAGATTCTCTGATGCGACGCAACACGCACCAATCCAATCATACTTGACAGAGAAGATTAGGAAGATGCAAAAACCTTTACATATTTGGGCAGCATCATTGATGAACAGGTTGGATCTGATGCAGGTGTGGAGGCGGGGATCGGAAAAGCAAGAGTAGTATATTTACAACTGAAGAACATCTGCAACTCAAAACAACTGTCAACCAACACCAAATTCAAAATTTTCAATATGAATGTCAAAACAGTTCTACTGTATGGAGCGGAAACTCGGAGAACTACGAAAGCCATCATCCAGAAAATACAAGTGTTTATTAACAGTTGCCTACACAAAATACTTCGGATCCGTTAGCCAGACATCATCTTCAGAAGCCTACTGTGGGAGAGAACAAACCAGATTCCAGTGGAGGAAAAAATCAGGAAGAGGTGCTGGAAGTGGATAGGACACACATTGAGGAAAGCACCGAACTGATTCACAAAGCAAGTCCTTTCTTGGAATTCTGAAGACCAAATGGGAATAGGGAGACTAAAGAACACATTACTTCGAGAAATGGGGCTAGACATGATAAGAATGAACAAGAATTGTATAGAACTAGAAAGGAAGGCTGAGGACAGAATGCGTTGAAGAATGCTGGTTGGTGGCCTATGCTACACTGAAAGTAACAAGCGTAAGTAAGTAAAATTAAGTAACTGTTGTATAACAAGAATGTTAGTCACATATTGGTCTAACCTTATTTTCCTTTGGCGACATGAAAATGTGTAGATAATCATTAGTTAGTTAAATTTGAACGTGACCTGTAATAACAAAATCAAAGCATAATAATTTCAAACTTTTTAAAATTTTAACTATATAAAACAATTAAACAAATGTGAATACACTAATAGTTGACAGATAGAATCAGATCACTAACATATTGAAGAAGATAAATGGCTTTTTTCTTTAGAACAGTGATGAATTACAAAGACGAGATTCCAGAAAGATGTTTGTTTCTTTTCTGAACGTAGAAATGAATCAACGTTGATTATTCAGATCTCAAAATATTTTAGCTATAAATTT